AAATTTTAGAATGTTTGAACTTTATACTTTGAAAATCTGCAATATTGGAGACATCAATCTATTCTATCATGCAAAAATAGCTCATTCTATCATCGACACTAAAACAATCCTCAAAAGTGTGCTCTACTTCATAACGTCTCTAGATTAGGCCTTTGCTTGAACTAAACCCAAATTTTGTGTGTTAGTATATGAGATTTCATTTTTACAGACTGATATAAAGCCCAATCAAGGAGAAAGAGCTAACATGGGGAAAATGTGGTTTAAAAAATTTTGTCACTCCGTAACAAAAAAGTGTCAAAAAGTTATCTATTCTCTTAACTACACGGCTATTGCATTCCATACACTAAGATTATCCAACATTTTCGATTGATAACATTATAATTTAAGAGGAGATATGATGAGCCAAACTTTGGTCACTCCGTAACGCTGTGTTACAGAGTGACAAATTCAAGGGACATTGTCACTCCGTAACGAATTTTTTTATTGACATTTCAAGATTTACAGTTGTTATTGATCTGGTTTGTAATATTAATGCCAGATTGCATAATACCTAGCTTGTCAGCTGAAACCACCGTCAAGGGTGGTCGGTATTTCAGTACATGACGTGATCTGATCCTACGTGCTTATCAATTTAAATGTCTGGGAATATGGGATCGGATCACATTATCATGTATTTACTATTTACCTAGGCGCTAGCTTTAATTAGGTGCACTCTATGATACGACCAACCTTGTAATTATGTAATCACCTAATTACGCTCTACCTGGAGCATGGTGCCTGGGGCTATTGAGATATGAGCCGAAACACAAGGAAAGATCACGTATTTTTGGATAAGTTGCAGCATGACCTGATCACATCTTTACGCTATTTCAAGTGTACTATTAACTATAGTACACCATCTTAGTATATATATCAAACACACACATTGAAGTCTATTAACTATAGACTGGGTTATTAACTATAGCCTGTACTATTAACTATAGTACACCATCTTAGTTGCTAAATCAGTAGCTAATTTCTGATTTACCTTACGACATGGCTTTGACGGGGAAAGGGAGGGCTCGTATATGTAGAGAGAAAAAGAAGATGGATCCTGTTAAGTGGGCAGACTACAAGAGGAAAGATGCTTTGAGAAAGTCAAACTATAGGAGGACAGCTGAAAGAAATGATCCAGTCCTGTTTGAAAGCATCAAGCTTAATGAACGAGCAAGACAGATTAAATCGAGGGAGAAAGTTAAGAAGCAAGAGTCAGATAATAGCAGTCCTGCTTTCTCATCAAAATCTTCGAAGGCGAGAAGCGTGGTAAGGGTATCAAGAGCACTTCCTAAGCAGTTAGACCAACGGAAAGAGGTCGTAAGGGACTTAACTTTGGAAGCCATTGATGCGACTCCAAGAAGGAAAAGAGCTATTGCCAGGCTGTTTGGAGATTGTGGAAACGGACTAGGAGGAAGACCTAAAGTGCTTTTAAAACCTGATGTGGCTGAGAAGGTGAGACAGTTTCTGATAAGAAATGATATCAGCTATACACTGCCAGGCAGAGACAATCAAGTATACTTGGGGAAGGATGTCAACAAAGTGAGCATTTTCGCTCCAAAGAAGTACCTCTTGTTCTTGTATAGTGAACTCTTTATCTTAGCTCAGAATGATGATGAGACTGATTTTTATGCAGTTGTTTATATTTTTCAAACAGTGATTTAAATGCGCTGTATTTTAAGGGAAATTTACAGAGTTGTAAGCTCCAGGGTTGATTTTTTATCACATGATCGTATTTTTATTCATAATTGTGATCAAGACTAATGAATTGTACCAGATTTGATTTATTTCGCATCAATAAATTTGTGTGGCTACCTTGTTTAAGTGTTATCTATCTAATTTTGAAAAGAATTCTACTATTTAGAGCCAGGAACAGGATGAAAAATTCGAGTGGAATGAGAGACTGTTTGATGCGTCACTCTGTAACAGTCACTCCGTAACAATCCCCAAAATTTTTGAAGCCTCAAATTTTTTATTCCTTAGGCAATACACACTTTTTCTTGATTAATTATTGAAGGAAAATGTCTGGAAAGTGCCTGGAAGCCGTCAAAATGCAACTTTCAAGAATATCTGAGATAAAAATTAGGTCAGAATATGGGTGTACCAAAATCTGAAAATTTATCTAGTCACTCCGTAACGAAATTTCGACTTTTAATTACTCAAAAACGGATTGATTTCTCACTATTTTCTATGGCAGATATGTAAATCGTAGGTTTGAAAAGCCTTAGAAACATAATTTAACCAATAATGAACCTGTTTTCTTGGACATTTTTCGGAAAAAATGGGTAAAATTGTCACACCGTAACATTCTATAGTTTTGAAATATGCCCCACAAAGAACAGGGTCTAACTGATCTATTGTGAAACATTCAATTCTTTTCCCAGGCAGTTTGTGACCAAATGTTCCTTTTCCAGCCCCAAATTTGAGGAACCGGGTGTTTGAATCACCAATAATCAATGTCGCATTGGTGCTCCTGCTTACGTAGCGAAAGGTTATACTGTATCTCAATTCCCTCTTTTCTGTGCTCTTATCAATTCGGTGGTCCCACAGAAACTGGGACTGTTTGCTCATCACATAGAGACTACGTCCCTCTATTGGCCAAACCATCGGAGCCTAGCTGCTCGTACGAAAGTATCAACAGGGGCGATGTTAGCCCGCTTAAGTACGTCAGCATTAGATACGTGAAAAAACCATTTGATTTTCAGGATTCTTCTCAGACATCTATGATGGAACACCTCGAATCTTTTCATCTGCGTCTGAGTGGTATTCCATACCTCACTTCCATATAGCAGTATAGTGAGGACAGCCGCTTTGTATATCCTGATTTTAGTTGGTGTCTTGATATTGCGACTGTACCATATACTGCTAAGCTGATAGAATGCCCCAGAGGCCTTTTGAATTCGAGCTGACAGTTCTTTGTCAATTGTTCCATTCCCACTGATGATAGCACCCAAGTAAGTAAATCAGAATACATATGTTCTCATATATACAAATCCGATCTATTCATAGAAAAATAGTATTATAAAACATTGCATTTCTATTTTATCCAGGCTACACATTTGTAAATAACTAGAATTGTGTAACCTTAAATTATTTCAGAATTATAACTATTGTGAATTCAATAAAATAATCATCACTTTTGTATCCTTGTATCCTTGTATCCTATACGTCTCTTATCTGTAGTTTAAAAGTCAGGGGTGCAGCCGTTGTAGTTTGTACTTCAATTAAAATAATTGATGTTATTTTATCAAAATCAGCCACCCGTTCAGAATTGATTGTTGAGCTCTGTGTGTAGTGAGTGTGTGTGTGTGTGTGTGTGTGTGTGTGTGTGTGTGTGTGTGTGTGTGTGTGTGTGTGTGTGTGTGTGTGTGTGTGTGTGTGTGTGTGTGTGTGTGTGTGTGTGTGTGTGTGTGTGTGTGTGTGTGTGTGTGTGTGTGTGTGTGTGTGTGTGTGTGTGTGTGTGTGTGTGTGTGTGTGTGTGTGTGTGTGTGTGTGTGTGTGTGTGTGTGTGTGTGTGTGTGTGTGTGTGTGTGTGTGTGTGTGTGTGTGTGTGTGTGTGTGTGTGTGTGTGTGTGTGTGTGTGTGTGTGTGTGTGTGTGTGTGTGTGTGTGTGTGTGTGTGTGTGTGTGTGTGTGTGTGTGTGTGTGTGTGTGTGTGTGTGTGTGTGTGTGTGTGTGTGTGTGTGTGTGTGTGTGTGTGTGTGTGTGTGTGTGTGTGTGTGTGTGTGTGTGTGTGTGTGTGTGTGTGTGTGTGTGTGTGTGTGTGTGTGTGTGTGTGTGTGTGTGTGTGTGTGTGTGTGTGTGTGTGTGTGTGTGTGTGTGTGTGTGTGTGTGTGTGTGTGTGTGTGTGTGTGTGTGTGTGTGTGTGTGTGTGTGTGTGTGTGTGTGTGTGTGTGTGTGTGTGTGTGTGTGTGTGTGTGTGTGTGTGTGTGTGTGTGTGTGTCTGTAGTGAGCGGTGATAGTCCGTGCGTGTGGTTGTTATTATAATGCGCTGAGATCATGTTGATGATATGTGATTTTGTGTGTTGTGCTGATAAGGCTTTCATTGAGCGATGGCCAGGAGTATTATCAGAAGACTAGCAGCTGGTCTGGCAGTGAACATTTTCTGATTTCTAATTTGGCCGCTAATTATTATTATTGAAAGTGCTTTTGTAGCTAAAATGTTTGTTGGAAGTGGCTCATTTCTAATTATTTTGTAGTACGCTGCATGAGTCATGCATGTTCAGCGTATTTCGGACGGGTATAAGAGAGGTACCTATGTGCTGATGGTGGTAATTGTTTAAATAGTTGACTAATACTAATCCATGTTGTGAGGTGTGTTATGTAGTGAGAATTTCATACTCTTTAAAGCTATCCCTCATGTGTGCAGGCAATTGGCCGTCCTTATAGAAATAGTTGACGTAACCTGGCATAACCATTCTCACTCCTTGTTTCTGTTTGGTGAATAGTGAAACTTATTGTTTCATTGAATGTGTGATTTGGCTGCAAACCCCAAACTAGGGAACAGAAATTGAGGTGGGATTAACATTTTTCTTTTTTTATGTTGTGGACACGACCAGTGATGTAAAATGTCCATGTTCAGTCTCTTGTACTCTATGGTTGTAAGAGCGCTTCTTCTCATATTCATGATAGTTATACATTGTCTGAAGTAGTTTGTTCTTGTTGGACATGCTTTGTTCAGAGGAGATCAAAAACCTTGCGCAGAAAATGACTGTAGGTTTGTACCTGATGGGAGCACTCTGCTTCCAACTGGTTGAAGACCAGGTTCAGTTTCTACACCATAACACACTTTCTCAAGGAGGCTGACAGCCGTAGTGTTATGTCTGATTGATATGAATCCACCTCCAGGGTCGTAATTCCATATGATGCATGTTTGCTTTTGGGATTGGTTGTCCATAAACTTAACTTGTCCATTAGAAATTTTAGTCTGCTCAAAAAGAGACCAATAAAATTAAATCATAAATTACACTCATAGGTTCTATGTTGTCTGATGGACTGTTCAGAGGAGTTCATATCTACAAGGGATGTAGTCGTCACAGTAGTCTTAAAGAGTGGCTCTCGCCAACATCATCATGTGATTTACGATCGATAAGACGCGAGGTTGAATCTTTTCCCAAGTGAGTAATTTTGAAGTAATCACAAAATCTTTGTGCTCTTACTCCTTTATATATATATAGGCACTGTCTTATTTACATGGTGGCTGATTACTACTCAGTAACTTATGAAGTTGAACAAGGCAGTAGCTATTAACAACTTGGCAACATACGACATAAAACTTATTTTCAGTGACATATCAGAACTGCCAAAGAAAGTTGGTAACTTTGTTGAGGTAAAAAGTACTGCGTTGGAGTACATGCGAAAAGTTCGCTGCTTCTTGACATCAACACATTTTATTGTTGCAAAAGAGAAGGTAAGTTTTATCTCATAACTTTCCCTACCAAGTTCTTCTCTGTACAGACTTTTTAGTAACCATCTCAACTTTTTCAATACCATATTACTTATCACAAAAAACTCAATTTTCAGATATGGAAATCTGCCAAAGAAACCCACCCTTACGAAGTTGATGCCATACTTAAACTATCTGACTACACTTTCTATTTCTCTGGGGAAATTCTTGTCGTTGAAAATAGACTACAGTCAGGGTCTCATTTGTGTAGATATTTTGAGTTGTGCGATGATTCAAGTGTTAACATATGGAAGCTGCTGTTTCGCCAGTGTGGTTGTTTAGGCCCCGACACTGCCGAAGATGATGGTAGCGATCTAGAACCTCGTAATACTTTCGTTATCTCTGATGACGGTTAGTGTTTTTTGAGTTTATGAAGTTTTGCATTTGATTATCAAATGTTCAGTTTTCACTGTCCATAATTGTGCATCAATCTTGGAATACCTGTTGTGACTGTAAAGATTATCTGGTTACTGTTTTTAATCTAATATCTTGTTGAGCAGGTTTGATAGATTCGGATGAGCTACCATGTGCCCTCTCACCTCCCGCTTTCTTTGTTATTCCACCTCCTTATCAGTCTAAATCTGGCCAGTCCTCTAGTAGTATGCTGAGCGATATAAACAATACATTGGACAGGTAATTCCCCCGGATGAAGCTAATTTGCTTTATTGAATATCAATATCAAAATCATCTGTCAGAATAGCATTTTATAAATTTCTAGCACCAAGATGCTGTATTTTTAAAGCTAGCGGAAAATGCCGGTTGTATAGAGGAGCTGTGGGGATCTTCGCAAGAGGAATTGTTACCATGGTTACATGGTTAATTGTTAGGTAAACAGTCTATCGTTTCAGATCGGGGCAGGGAGATCTGATGCTGTCAAAACACTTGTGTTGTTCAGAGAGTTGCCTCCTCGACATAGCTCATGGGTAGAGTTATATAGATTATTTAGTGTAGATTAACTTTATTTTTATATTTACTAAGTGTGAAGGATCAACCATAAGTTATTGATATTGTTGAATTATTTAATGATAAATTGATATAATAAATGTTTGTAATAACCTATTGAGGCACATGCCACCCCATCGCGGGTTTACTACTAAGTACTACTACTAGTTCTTTATTAGCTGGTCTACAACTTTCTTATCTTATCTTATCTCGATACATTTGCATATTACATGTTACATCTTTGCTGTGGTTTATCTACTGATAACTATTTGTTATCTCAGTGAGGTGCGACACAGTAACTATTCGTTATCTCAGTGAGGTGCAGGGACAAAAGGATTTCGCGATTATTTTGGCCAAAAATCGCGATACCGCGAATTTTAACGACTATACATTAAACAATACATAAAATTTGTCGCAAATAATGGGGAAAATCGCGATTCCGTACATGCCGCGATTTCCTTTTGTCCCTGGTGAGGTGCGACACAGTAACTATTTGTTATCTCAGTGAGGTGCGACACAGCAACTATTTGTTATCTCAGTGAGGTGCGACACAGTAACTATTTGTTATCTCAGTGAGGTGGGACACAGTAACTATTTGTTATCTCAGTGAGGTGCGACACAGCAACTATTTGTTATCTCAGTGAGGTGCGACACAGTAACTATTCGTTATCTCAGTGAGGTGCGACACAGCAACTATTTGTTATCTCAGTGAGGTGCGACACAGTAACTATTTGTTATCTCAGTGAGGTGCGACACAGTAACTATTTGTTATCTCAGTGAGGTGCGACACAGTAACTATTTGTTATCTCAGTGAGGTGCGACACAGTAACTATTCGTTATCTCAGTGAGGTGCGACACAGTAAGAGACGGCGAGTATCCAGCTGCACGGCCTTCACGTGGAACAACAAATTAGTTGCAACAGTCGAGAAATCAAGTAATATTCCGTTTCTTATCTGCGTTTTACTCATTTGCGGTTATATTATTTTAAAAAGTAAGGCATGCTATGTCATGTTTTGCAATTGAAAAGTAATAGAATATTAGAGGCGGGGTTTCTATAAACTGTTTACCCCCAAATTGTTTTTGGAAAGTTAATGCTACTCTGATTTAACTGTTAGTCATCGGGTGAAATGTTATTATTATTTGTTTTGTCGCAGGTATAAAAAAGAAAGAGAAAGCATTAAAGTCAGTCAGTCTGTCATTTTCAAGAAAAGGAAAACGAACAACTTGCAAGTATGAAAATATTTTTCAATGTAGCCCTCTGCACTCCAGGTCTTACTGTAATAGAAAGTATACTAGTATACTAGTATAGCCTGGGCCATGAAGGGAACTCTATTACCCAGCTGGGTAATAGAGGTCCCTTTATGTCCCACGCAATTTAAAATAGTAATTAACACTGAAATGAATGTATTTTACCTTGTTCATAATTACTTCATAATTACTAGTCACATATCCAAGAAGTGGAGCCTGCTTATATCGTCATTTTTACGGGGATGAAATTTGATTTAATTGCGTTTGATAGCACCTTCTCTTTGAATCAACACCCCGCTGTGTTTCTGCCAACGCCAAATATCGTTGGCAGAAACACAGCCAACGATATTGGCTGTGTAAAAAACAAAGAAATATTCCTTCAAACTTTCTTATCTTGTCAAAGGGCTTTAGATAGGTTTCTTTATTAAATTGTCGCTGATTGATACCGACAGCAGATTTTGTATCGTTTGTGTTTCAAAACCTTTGAAACATAATATAATTAAAAGGTTGACGATTAAGTGGTCCTAATGATAAGGTATTAGATCATTCTTGTCAGATCATGTGATACAAATCATTAAATAATTAAAATTGTAATAAGATCCGATTATTAATCTGATTTATTGATGATGACAGGACGCTGACACCATGTTCTTGCTTTTGTCTTTAATGTCATGAAATAGTGTTTATATATAATACGAAGGAATAACGTGTTTTTTAATGATGATAATAGTGATAATAGCGTGTTTTGTATTCAATTAAAAGTTCTGGCCCCGAGCAGTTTGAGTATTTCTATTAATCGTTTCTCTGCAATGATACAGAAGATGTACTGTCACATTTGATTTGCCATGACTATTGGTTTGCTGACTATAAATGATTCTATATTGTTCCCTGTGACGTCTTGTTTTGAGTTCCCTTTCCCTCTTGCTCATAACGCCCGGTGAATAATTTATACATTATTTCTTAGCATTCTTTTGTTAGGCTTGGCCAGTTAGGTCATTTCATGAGCATAGCTGGCAAGTTCATTATTACTGACTATTTCAACCGTTTATTTTAAAATTGTGGATAATTACAGAATGAGATCATTTCTTTTCCTGAGACACTTAACTCGAAAAGTGTCGAGGTTGGTGATGGCATCATGGCATGTTGACCCAGTTTGCATAGAAAATCGTTTGATCCAGTTAACAGCTTGCTTTTCAGGAGAAGGTCTAAAGATGACTCAGTGGTACCGATCCTCTCCCAGTACCCCCAGTCTCCTATGTCTAAGTGAGTGCTATACAAATCAACAACTCTCTTTTCACATACCGTTAAATCAAGATTTATTTGTCTTCTTCGGTATTTCTGTTTTTCTCCACTCCCCAAATAACACCTTCCTGTCGAGGTAATTTCTAATAACACCACCTATATTTCCTAATAACACCACCTATATTTCCGGACCAACTCTTCGTATCTAGACGGGTTTCTTTCGTCATCACCCTCTCAATCCGTTTTATCGACTAACTCCGTTTTATCGACTAACTCCTCTTTTTACCAATTTATCCGGCCCCTCCCTATTCCACAGATCCTTTTTATTTCCCACAGGTGTCAATTAGTTGCGGCAAAATCCTTGCTTATAATACCGCATAGTTCCACATAATCTAAATTTTAAGTATGTTTACTTACTATTTGTAATATTGAAAGTGCCCGACCGCTTGTGAGCCAGCTTTTGAGCCAGCTTGGTAGGTGTCCAGTTCCAGCGGTTAGTAATAAATTTGTTTACAAAAACTAATCATTCTAGAAGTGCCACCAACCCTTGAGTGAAACGTACACTTCCAAGTGCATTTGCTAGTTCCATATAATTACAGCATCGCCGCAAACAAATCAACTTTCCGTACATTGTACCATTTTGTATAGTTGCGGTGCCGCATTATTTGCAAACGATACCGCAACTTAACCATGTCTTTGTTATTTCCGGCTAATTCCTTTACTTTCCCGACTCCATCTCCCGACTAGCTGAATCCCTGTCAGTTCCCACTCTCTACTTTCCCTCTATTACCCTCTTGTTCTCGTGACACACTGACCAACATGTCTCACTAGGTTCCCTCTATTACCCTCTTGTTCTCGTGACACACTGACCAACATGTCTCACTAGGTTCCCTCTATTACCCTCTTGTTCTCGTGACACACTGACCAACATGTCTCACTAGGTTCCCTCTATTACCCTCTTGTTCTCGTGACACACTGACCAACATGTCTCACTATGTTCCCTCTATTACCCTCTTGTTCTCGTGACACACTGACCAACATGTCTCACTAGGTTCCCTCTATTACCCTCTTGTTCTCGTGACACACTGACCAACATGTCTCACTAGGTTCCCTCTATTTCCCTCTTATTCTCGTGACACACTGACCAACATGTCTCACTAGGTTCCCTCTATTACCCTCTTGTTCTCGTGACACACTGACCAACATGTCTCACCAGGTTCCCTCTATTACCCTCTTGTTCTCGTGACACACTGACCAACATGTCTCACTAGGTTCCCTCAATTACCCTCTTGTTCTCGTGACACACTGACCAACATGTCTCACCAGGTTCCCTCTATTACCCTCTTGTTCTCGTGACCCACTGACCAACATGTCTCACCAGGTTCCCTCTATTACCCTCTTGTTCTCGTGACACACTGACCAACATGTCTCACTAGGTTCCCTATATTACCCTCTTGTTCTCGTGACACACTGACCAACATGTCTCACTAGGTTCCCTCTATTACCCTCTTGTTCTCGTGACACACTGACCAACATGTCTCACCAGGTTCCCTCTATTACCCTCTTGTTCTCGTGACACACTGACCAACATGTCTCACTAGGTTCCCTCTATTTCCCTCTTGTTCTCGTGACACACTGACCAACATGTCTCACCAGGTTCACTCTATTACCCTCTTGTTCTCGTGACACACTGACCAACATGTCTCACTAGGTTCCCTCTATTACCCTCTTGTTCTCGTGACACACTGACCAACATGTCTCACTAGGTTCCCTCTATTTCCCTCTTGTTCTCGTGACAAACTGACCAACATGTCTCACTAGGTTCCCTCTATTACCCTCTTGTTCTCGTGACACACTGATCAACAAGTCTCACCAGGTTCCCTCTATTACCCTCTTGTTCTCGTGACACACTGACCAACATGTCTCACTAGGTTCCCTCTATTTCCCTCTTGTTCTCGTGACACACTGACCAACATGTCTCACTAGGTTCCCTCTATTACCCTCTTGTTCTCGTGACACACTGACCAACATGTCTCAATAGGTTCTCGTGACACACTGACCAACATGTCTCACTAGGTTCCCTCTATTACCCTCTTGTTCTCGTGACACACTGACCAACATGTCTCACTAGGTTCCCTATATTACCCTCTTGTTCTCGTGACACACTGACCAACATGTCTCACTAGGTTCCCTCTATTACCCTCTTGTTCTCGTGACACACTGACCAACATGTCTCACTAGGTTCCCTCTATTTCCCTCTTGTTCTCGTGACACACTGACCAACATGTCTCACCAGGTTCCCTCTATTACCCTCTTGTTCTCGTGACACACTGACCAACATGTCTCACTAGGTTCCCTCTATTACCCTCTTGTTCTCGTGACACACTGACCAACATGTCTCACTAGGTTCCCTCTATTACCCTCTTGTTCTCGTGACACACTGACCAACATGTCTCACTAGGTTCCCTCTATTACCCTCTTGTTCTCGTGACACACTGACCAACATGTCTCACTAGGTTCCCTCTATTACCCTCTTGTTCTCGTGACACACTGACCAACATGTCTCACTAGGTTCCCTCTATTACCCTCTTGTTCTCGTGACACACTGACCAACATGTCTCACTAGGTTCCCTCTATTACCCTCTTGTTCTCGTGACACACTGACCAACATGTCTCACCAGGTTCCCTCTATTACCCTCTTGTTCTCGTGACACACTGACCAACATGTCTCACCAGGTTCCCTCTATTACCCTCTTGTTCTCGTGACACACTGACCAACATGTCTCACTAGGTTCCCTCTATTACCCTCTTGTTCTCGTGACACACTGACCAACATGTCTCACTAGGTTCCCTCTATTACCCTCTTGTTCTCGTGACACACTGACCAACATGTCTCACTAGGTTCCCTCTATTACCCTCTTGTTCTCGTGACACACTGACCAACATGTCTCACTAGGTTCCCTCTATTACCCTCTTGTTCTCGTGACACACTGACCAACATGTCTCACTAGGTTCCCTCTATTACCCTCTTGTTCTCGTGACACACTGACCAACATGTCTCACTAGGTTCCCTCTATTACCCTCTTGTTCTCGTGACACACTGACCAACATGTCTCACTAGGTTCCCTCTATTACCCTCTTGTTCTCGTGACACACTGACCAACATGTCTCACTAGGTTCCCTCTATTACCCTCTTGTTCTCGTGACACACTGACCAACATGTCTCACTAGGTTCCCTCTATTACCCTCTTGTTCTCGTGACACACTGACCAACATGTCTCACCAGGTTCCCTCTATTACCCTCTTGTTCTCGTGACACACTGACCAACATGTCTCACCAGGTTCCCTCTATTACCCTCTTGTTCTCGTGACACACTGACCAACATGTCTCACTAGGTTCCCTCTATTACCCTCTTGTTCTCGTGACACACTGACCAACATGTCTCACTAGGTTCCCTCTATTACCCTCTTGTTCTCGTGACACACTGACCAACATGTCTCACTAGGTTCCCTCTATTACCCTCTTGTTCTCGTGACACACTGACCAACATGTCTCACTAGGTTCCCTCTATTACCCTCTTGTTCTCGTGACACACTGACCAACATGTCTCACTAGGTTCCCTCTATTACCCTCTTGTTCTCGTGACACACTGACCAACATGTCTCACTAGGTTCCCTCTATTACCCTCTTGTTCTCGTGACACACTGACCAACATGTCTCACTAGGTTCCCTCTATTACCTCTTGTTCTCGTGACACACTGACCAACATGTCTCACTAGGTTCCCTCTATTTCCCTCTTGTTCTCGTGACACACTGACCAACATGTCTCACTAGGTTCCCTCTATTACCCTCTTGTTCTCGTGACACACTGACCAACATGTCTCACCAGGTTCCCTCTATTACCCTCTTGTTCTCGTGACACACTGACCAACATGTCTCACTAGGTTCCCTCTATTACCCTCTTGTTCTCGTGACACACTGACCAACATGTCTCACTAGGTTCCCTCTATTACCCTCTTGTTCACGTGACACACTGACCAACATGTCTCACTAGGTTCCCTCTATTACCCTCTTGTTCTCGTGACACACTGACCAACATGTCTCACTAGGTTCCCTCTATTTCCCTCTTGTTCTCGTGACACACTGACCAACATGTCTCACTAGGTTCCCTCTATTACCCTCTTGTTCTCGTGACACACTGACCAACATGTCTCACCAGGTTCCCTCTATTACCCTCTTGTTCTCGTGACACACTGACCAACATGTCTCACCAGGTTCCCTCTATTACCCTCTTGTTCTCGTGACACACTGACCAACATGTCTCACCAGGTTCCCTCTATTACCCTCTTGTTCTCGTGACACACTGACCAACATGTCTCACTAGGTTCCCTCTATTACCCTCTTGTTCTCGTGACACACTGACCAACATGTCTCACCAGGTTCCCTCTATTACCCTCTTGTTCTCGTGACACACTGACCAACATGTCTCACTAGGTTCCCTCTATTACCCTCTTGTTCTCGTGACACACTGACCAACATGTCTCACCAGGTTCCCTCTATTACCCTCTTGTTCTCGTGACACACTGACCAACATGTCTCACTAGGTTCCCTCTATTACCCTCTTGTTCTCGTGACACACTGACCAACATGTCTCACTAGGTTCCCTCTATTACCCTCTTGTTCTCGTGACACACTGACCAACATGTCTCACTAGGTTCCCTCTATTACCCTCTTGATCTCGTGACACACTGACCAACATGTCTCACTAGGTTCCCTCTATTACCCTCTTGTTCTCGTGACACACTGACCAACATGTCTCACTAGGTTCCCTCTATTACCCTCTTGTTCTCGTGACACACTGACCAACATGTCTCACTAGGTTCCCTCTATTACCCTCTTGTTCTCGTGACACACTGACCAACATGTCTCACTAGGTTCCCTCTATTACCCTCTTGTTCTCGTGACACACTGACCAACATGTCTCACTAGGTTCCCTCTATTTCCCTCTTGTTCTCGTGACACACTGACCAACATGTCTCACTAGGTTCCCTCTATTACCCTCTTGTTCTCGTGACACACTGACCAACATGTCTCACCAGGTTCCCTCTATTACCCTCTTGTTCTCGTGACACACTGACCAACATGTCTCACTAGGTTCCCTCTATTACCCTCTTGTTCTCGTGACACACTGACCAACATGTCTCACTAGGTTCCCTCTATTACCCTCTTGTTCTCGTGACACACTGACCAACATGTCTCACCAGGTTCCCTCTATTACCCTCTTGTTCTCGTGACACACTGACCAACATGTCTCACCAGGTTCCCTCTATTACCCTCTTGTTCTCGTGACACACTGACCAACATGTCTCACTAGGTTCCCTCTATTTCCCTCTTGTTCTCGTGACACACTGACCAACATGTCTCACTAGGTTCCCTCTATTACCCTCTTGTTCTCGTGACACACTGACCAACATGTCTCACTAGGTTCCCTCTATTACCCTCTTGTTCTCGTGACACACTGACCAACATGTCTCACTAGGTTCCCTCTATTACCCTCTTGTTCTCGTGACACACTGACCAACATGTCTCACTAGGTTCCCTCTATTACCCTCTTGTTCTCGTGACACACTGACCAACATGTCTCACCAGGTTCCCTCTATTACCCTCTTGTTCTCGTGACACACTGACCAACATGTCTCACCTAGGTTCCCTCTATTACCCTCTTGTTCTCGTGACACACTGACCAACATGTCTCACCAGGTTCCCTCTATTACCCTCTTGTTCTCGTGACACACTGACCAACATGTCTCACCAGGTTCCCTCTATTACCCTCTTGTTCTCGTGACACACTGACCAACATGTCTCACTAGGTTCCCTCTATTACCCTCTTGTTCTCGTGACACACTGACCAACATGTCTCACTAGGTTCCCTCTATTACCCTCTTGTTCTCGTGACACACTGACCAACATGTCTCACTAGGTTCCCTCTATTACCCTCTTGTTCTCGTGACACACTGACCAACATGTCTCACTAGGTTCCCTCTATTACCCTCTTGTTCTCGTGACACACTGACCAACATGTCTCACCAGGTTCCCTCTATTACCCTCTTGTTCTCGTGACACACTGACCAACATGTCTCACTAGGTTCCCTCTATTACCCTCTTGTTCTCGTGACACACTGACCAACATGTCTCACTAGGTTCCCTCTATTACCCTCTTGTTCTCGTGACACACTGACCAACATGTCTCACCTAGGTTCCCTCTATTACCCTCTTGTTCTCGTGACACACTGACCAACATGTCTCACTAGGTTCCCTCTATTACCCTCTTGTTCTCGTGACACACTGACCAACATGTCTCACTAGGTTCCCTCTATTACCCTCTTGTTCTCGTGACACACTGACCAACATGTCTCACTAGGTTCCCTCTATTACCCTCTTGTTCTCGTGACACACTGACCAACATGTCTCACTAGGTTCCCTCTATTACCCTCTTGTTCTCGTGACACACTGACCAACATGTCTCACTAGGTTCCCTCTATTACCCTCTTGTTCTCGTGACACACTGACCAACATGTCTCACTAGGTTCCCTCTATTACCCTCTTGTTCTCGTGACACACTGACCAACATGTCTCACTAGGTTCCCTCTATTACCCTCTTGTTCTCGTGACACACTGACCAACATGTCTCACTAGGTTCCCTCTATTACCCTCTTGTTCTCGTGACACACTGACCAACATGTCTCACTAGGTTCCCTCTATTACCCTCTTGTTCTCGTGACACACTGACCAACATGTCTCACTAGGTTCCCTCTATTACCCTCTTGTTCTCGTGACACACTGACCAACATGTCTCACTAGGTTCCCTCTATTACCCTCTTGTTCTCGTGACACACTGACCAACATGTCTCACTAGGTTCCCTCTATTACCCTCTTGTTCTCGTGACACACTGACCAACATGTCTCACTAGGTTCCCTCTATTACCCTCTTGTTCTCGTGACACACTGACCAACATGTCTCACTAGGTTCCCTCTATTACCCTCTTGTTCTCGTGACACACTGACCAACATGTCTCACTAGGTTCCCTCTATTACCCTCTTGTTCTCGTGACACACTGACCAACATGTCTCACTAGGTTCCCTCTATTACCCTCTTGTTCTCGTGACACACTGACCAACATGTCTCACTAGGTTCCCTCTATTACCCTCTTGTTCTCGTGACACACTGACCAACATGTCTCACTAGGTTCCCTCTATTACCCTCTTGTTCTCGTGACACACTGACCAACATGTCTCACTAGGTTCCCTCTATTACCCTCTTGTTCTCGTGACACACTGACCAACATGTCTCACTAGGTTCCCTCTATTACCCTCTTGTTCTCGTGACACACTGACCAACATGTCTCACTAGGTTCCCTCTATTACCCTCTTGTTCTCGTGACACACTGACCAACATGTCTCACTAGGTTCCCTCTATTACCCTCTTGTTCTCGTGACACACTGACCAACATGTCTCACTAGGTTCCCTCTATTACCCTCTTGTTCTCGTGACACACTGACCAACATGTCTCACTAGGTTCCCTCTATTACCCTCTTGTTCTCGTGACACACTGACCAACATGTCTCACTAGGTTCCCTCTATTACCCTCTTGTTCTCGTGACACACTGACCAACATGTCTCACTAGGTTCCCTCTATTACCCTCTTGTTCTCGTGACACACTGACCAACATGTCTCACTAGGTTCCCTCTATTACCCTCTTGTTCTCGTGACACACTGACCAACATGTCTCACTAGGTTCCCTCTATTACCCTCTTGTTCTCGTGACACACTGACCAACATGTCTCACTACGTTCCCTCTATTACCCTCTTGTTCTCGTGACACACTGACCAACATGTCTCACTAGGTTCCCTCTATTACCCTCTTGTTCTCGTGACACACTGACCAACATGTCTCACTAGGTTCCCTCTATTACCCTCTTGTTCTCGTGACACACTGACCAACATGTCTCACTAGGTTCCCTCTATTACCCTCTTGTTCTCGTGACACACTGACCAACATGTCTCACTAGGTTCCCTCTATTACCCTCTTGTTCTCGTGACACACTGACCAACATGTCTCACTAGGTTCCCTCTATTACCCTCTTGTTCTCGTGACACACTGACCAACATGTCTCACTAGGTTCCCTCTATTACCCTCTTGTTCTCGTGACACACTGACCAACATGTCTCACCAGGTTCCCTCTATTTCCCTCTTGTTCTCGTGACACACTGACCAACATGTCTCACTAGGTTCCCTCTATTACCCTCTTGTTCTCGTGACACACTGACCAACATGTCTCACTACGTTCCCTCTATTACCCTCTTGTTCTCGTGACACACTGACCAACATGTCTCACTATGTTCCCTCTATTACCCTCTTGTTCTCGTGACACACTGACCAACATGTCTCACCAGGTTCCCTCTATTACCCTCTTGTTCTCGTGACACACTGACCAACATGTCTCACTAGGTTCCCTCTATTACCCTCTTGTTCTCGTGACACACTGACCAACATGTCTCACTAGGTTCCCTCTATTACCCTCTTGTTCTCGTGACACACTGACCAATATGTCTCACTAGGTTCCCTCTATTACTCTCTTGTTCTCGTGACACACTGACCAACATGTCTCACTAGGTTCCCTCTATTACCCTCTTGTTCTCGTGACACACTGACCAACATGTCTCACTAGGTTCCCTCTATTACCCTCTTGTTCTCGTGACACACTGACCAACATGTCTCACTAGGTTCCCTCTATTACCCTCTTGTTCTCGTGACACACTGACCAACATGTCTCACTAGCTCACTAGGTTCCCTCTATTACCCTCTTGTTCTCGTGACACACTGACCAACATGTCTCACTAGGTTCCCTCTATTTCCCTCTTGTTCTCGTGACACACTGACCAACATGTCTCACTAGGTTCCCTCTATTACCCTCTTGTTCTCGTGACACACTGACCAACATGTCTCACTAGGTTCCCTCTATTACCCTCTTGTTCTCGTGACACACTGACCAACATGTCTCACTAGGTTCCCTCTATTACCCTCTTGTTCTCGTGACACACTGACCAACATGTCTCACTAGGTTCCCTCTATTAACCTCTTGTTCTCGTGACACACTGACCAACATGTCTCACTAGGTTCCCTCTATTACCCTCTTGTTCTCGTGACACACTGACCAACGTCCAACATGTCTCACTAGGTTCCCTCTATTACCCTCTTGTTCTCGTGACACACTGACCAACATGTCTCACCAGGTTTCAGAGTGGATTACAACTCAGTGTTTACAACATCAAACCAGAACACTTTGCTCAGCAGCTCACATTCCTGGATCAGCGGTACCTGCTAGCAATGTCTCCCAGAGAGCTGCTCTACTGCGAGAAGATCAACGACGATAAAGTGGTGAGTTAAATCATGGTTATAATAGTGTAATTTCAGTTAACTTGATGAGTAGTTGTTCACTTACTAGGGATTCCTGGTTACTGATTATAGTCGGTTCAAGTAATTCCTGGTCACTTATTAGCGATTCCTGGTTACTGATTAAAGATGTTTGTAATTCCTGGTAACTTATTAGGGATTCCTGGTTACTGATTATAGTCGGTTGTAATTCCTGGTCACTTATTAGGGATTCATGGTTACTGATTATAGTCGGTTTTAATTTCTGGTCACTTATTAGGGATTCGTGGTTACTGATTATAGTCGGTTGTAATTCCTGGTCACTTATTAGGGATTCATGGTTACTGATTATAGTCGGTTGTAATTCCTGGTCACTTATTAGGGATTCGTGGTTACTGATTATAGTCGGTTGTAATTCCTGGTCACTTATTAGGGATTCTTGGTTACTGATTATAGTCGGTTGTAATTCCTGGTCACTTATTAGGGATTCTTGGTTACTGATTATAGTCGGTTGTAATTCCTGATCACTTATTAGGGATTCCTGGTTACTGATTATAGTCGGTTGTAATTCCTGGTCACTTATTAGGGATTCCTGGTTACTGATTATAGTCGGTTGTAATTCCTGGTCACTTATTAGGGATTCCTGGCTACTGATTATAGTCGGTTGTAATTCCTGGTCACTGATTAGGGATTCCTGGTTACTGATTATAGTCGGTTGTAATTCCTGGTCACTGAATAGGGATTCCTGGTTACTGATTATAGTCGGTTGTAATTCCTGGTCACTTATTAGGGATTCGTGGTTACTGATTATAGTCGGTTGTAATTCCTGGTCACTTATTAGGGATTCGTGGTTACTGATTATAGTCGGTTGTAATTCCTGGTCACTTATTAGGGATTCATGGTTACTGATTATAGTCGGTTGTAATTCCTGGTCACTTATTAGGGATTCTTGGTTACTGATTATAGTCGGTTGTAATTCCTGGTCACTTATTAGGGATTCCTGGTTACTGATTATAGTCGGTTGTAATTCCTGGTCACTTATTAGGGATTCATGGTTACTGATTATAGTCGGTTGTAATTCCTGGTCACTTATTAGGGATTCGTGGTTACTGATTATAGTCGGTTGTAATTCCTGGTCACTTATTAGGGATTCGTGGTTACTGATTATAGTCGGTTGTAATTCCTGGTCACTTATTAGGGATTCGTGGTTACTGATTATAGTCGGTTGTAATTCCTGGTCACTTATTAGGGATTCCTGGTTACTGATTATAGTCGGTTGTAATTCCTGGTCACTTATTAGGGATTCATGGTTACTGATTATAGTCGGTTGTAATTCCTGGTCACTTATTAGGGATTCGTGGTTACTGATTATAGTCGGTTGGAATTCCTGGTCACTTATTAGGGATTCTTGGTTACTGATTATAGTCGGTTGTAATTCCTGGTCACTTATTAGGGATTCCTGGTTACTGATTATAGTCGGTTGTAATTCCTGGTCACTTATTAGGGATTCCTGGTTACTGATTATAGTCGGTTGTAATTCCTGGTCACATATTAGGGATTCCTGGTTACTGATTATAGTCGGTTGTAATTCCTGGTCACTTATTAGGGATTCCTGGTTACTGATTATAGTCGGTTGTAATTCCTGGTCACTGATTAGGGATTCCTGGTTACTGATTATAGTCGGTTGTAATTCCTGGTCACTTATTAGGGATTCCTGGTTACTGATTATAGTCGGTTGTAATTCCTGGTCACATATTAGGGATTCCTGGTTACTGATTATAGTCGGTTGTAATTCCTGGTCACTTATTAGGGATTCGTGGTTACTGATTATAGTCGGTTGTAATTCCTGGTCACTGTTTCCATTGGTATCTGAAAAAGGAATTTCCAGAGCGGCGTCTGTTTCGACATTATAAACCCATTTAACTTTAAAGTCTGTCTAGGCTACAGTAGTAGTGTAGCCGCTACACTACCTTAATTTAACGGTGATACTACCTCAGTCACATGTTAAATCAAGTGTAAAGAGAAGAAATGTGAACCACACACTCCACTACACACCACTACACTACACTACCACTTTCACTTGCAACAGTTGGGTTATGAGCGTGGAAGGTGATGATGGATTTACCGCGTGTAGTTGAAATATCCCAAATATTCCATATAACATGACTGGTGAGCCCGCTAAAGGAATGCTGCATCCGCCCGATTTTAATCAGCAGCCTCGTATAATGTAGAACATTCTAAAACATTCCCAGATATTTGGGTGTTTACAACACCAAATCAACTGATGAAAAGTTTGCGGTATCTTAATTGGAGCAAACAATTATCTAACCAATTTCTTGAGGTGTTCTCAGGTTTTACGTCAGTCAGGAATTATTATGTAGCTTAATTCTTGGAGCTCTGCCAAGAAAAGGAATGTTATTAGTAGGAGAATCTGAAGGGATATGTTATTATGAGAATGTGAGCAAGCACACATCACAGTACACTGTTTACTGGAAATGTAGTGACGTCAGGCTGGCGGGATCTCTCCACCATCCCACCTGATAATATGCATGTGTGCAAATGCCAATCATCTCACGAGTTGGCTCATTAGATGTGATGGGCGTGTAACAAACAACATTTAATTAATTAGTAACACACAGCTTCTACCTTTAATTAATTAGTTACACTTAGCTTTAAAGTATTTATACGTTAATACTGTATTACTATTTATAACATAATAAGTTACACATACCATTCATTATATGTCCCTAGTAGGTTATTCTATTAATAGATCATAGAACTAATTTGAATCTTATTGCTGTGTAAATTTGATTCTAATTCTAATGATTCTAATATTCTAATTGCTGTGTAATTAATAAGCAAGGTTACATTAGCCAGTACACGTGGCCCCCTGCTCGCATGTAACTATACATCACTCCGTCCAGTTTGTTGGTCCGTACTAAAAGGAAATACACACCTTACCAACTACTTCTCCCAAATTTACTCCAAAATACACACGCGAGGTGTGCCGGAGAGTAAATACACACCCCGTCTTCCACAGACCACCCCACAGACCACCCCACTGACCACCCGTCTTCTACAGCTAGATGTATAACGCTCAGACGGCAGCGCTTGACCCGTTAATTATTTTATATTTATATTAGACACGTGATCATCACTGAAGTAAAAACGGTTATATCAGGTGATACGTCCGTGACATGTGATGTCGCCTACTATAACACAGATTCTGTGCTCAATATCAGTTATTCTATGTAATATTTCTTATTATACATTTATGTTTAAGGGGGCATACACCAAAACAGTGGTTTGTTCCGTCCAACCCAAATGGTCTCAACCAAAATAATTATTTTCTCCATAATCCCGCTCTAACCAGGAAATGCTCGATTACAAAAATAGGTATTCTCAAAAAAAATTTTTTTGTTGGGGACCGGCCCGAAGTACCAGCCAATGTTTACTCAAAAAATAATATATATAATAAGTGTTAATTCAAACTCAAAACTCATACAAGATTAGATCTCATTAAAACGATTAAAATGTATATAATAGAGCTTGTCGAACAAAACATAGCTGAGCACATTTAAAGTTGCCTTAAGTTGAAATTATCATATTAATATGCTTTTAGAGTTGTTAGAGTGGAAACAGGCGCATAGCTACTGCTAGCTAGCTATTCCAAAATTTTTGAAATTTAACGACTGTTATCAGTCGCATAGCGTCATGCCGTTTTTGCTGGCGAATTGATGGCAGTGTAACTGAGATGGTATGCAGTGAAATTGATTCTGTGATGGCGTGCTTATGGGACAGAGTTATTATTAGCATTACGGTTGATGTTGCGCTCTGATTTCCTTAGTCCCGTAATATTGTATAACATAAAGTTAGGCCATTCGTCTGCAATGCCCTCGTTTTGTTGATCAATGAGCATGTTTTTTATGCACCTTTTGTAGATGTTAAGGTTGAATAGACTTGGCAAGGAAGTTGCTGCGACACTATATCTGTTTATTGCTAATAGTGGACCTTTGTAGAATACTGAATTATTGTAAGGGTGTTTACCGTATTCATCTGACCATAAAGTTGTAAGACTCGAATCCGGATCGGCGACGTTAAATATTGGTGCACTGTTAGGTATTGTTTTCTTTATAGAGGGAGGCACTAGACTTGGGAAGTTTTTTAGCTTATGTATAAAAACTAATGCGTTCTTTACGATGATACTATGAACTGTCAATATTTTGTGTACATAGAAACCAGACTTGGTACTTGCTGGTGGTGTACCATCTTTGTACCAGTAATTAACAAAACCTGGTAGTATTGCTCTAAGACCCATTTTCTGTTTAACAAATAGTGTTTCTATATGGGATTTGGCAGCAAAACCCCAGACGAGGGAGCAGTAATTAAGGTGAGACTGCACAAAGCTGTGATATATTTGTAAACGTGCTTCCAGAGGCAAATATTTTTTAAGTTTGTACATGACTCCAATGTATCTGGCCATTTTCATTTTCATGGCAGAAATATGTTGCGACCAGTTCAGTTTGTTATCTATTATAACACCTAAGAAACGGGCTTCTGTTTTTCTTTCGATTGTGACACCGGAAATTACTACATCGCGATAAATGAGGTTTCTTTGTCGAGAAAAGATCATATAATTCGTTTTTTTAAGATTTAGAGCTAATCCGTTGCTATCTACCCATTTAACTAAGACATCGCTAAGAATTTTGAGCTTATCATAAACCTCGTTTATATTTTCTCCCGTTAGGAAAATGTTTGCATCATCTGCGTACATGATGAAATTAGCTATTTCTGATATTTGAGGAAGATCGTTTATGTAGATTATAAAAAGGAGAGGTCCCAAAATTGAACCTTGGGGTACACCGTAAATAATTGGATTGGCTGAGGATTCAGAGGATCCAATTGATACAAACTGGTTTCTGTTCATAAGATATGATTTAAACCAGTTTAAAGCTAGACCTCTTATGCCATAGTGCTCGAGCTTATTCAGGAGTATGGAGTGATCC